AGTTACTATCTCTCAAGATTTGCTTGATTGTGAAGTGCTTGAAAGTCTCGAATGCGGCCTTAGCTTTCTTTAGATACCTGATCATGTTTTCTTCCTTGGTTTGATATTATCTTAAGATCTGATTAACAACCAGCTGGGAGTTGTTGTGAATACTGATCGCATCGGATCCCATTTTGCTCGCTAATCATAGACCAACGAGCATCGCTTTGTATTCGGCCTCATTGTTCATAGCTTGGAACCCAAATCAAAGGATTCCATGAATGCGAGTCTCTTCAGGACTAAGAAGGAGAAAACCTGCCCCAATTTTTTTTTCTATTCGAGGAACCATCGACGTAGAAGCTTTAGGTCGATAAGTTCTAAATGGTTTCTTAGATGACTTCATTGGCTTGCTGCTCGGATTCCCGATTGGGCTGGTACGAGAATTTTGAAATGAAATCGGTAACAACCTTCCCTTTGATGGTTACATTCGGTCTGTAATGCAGATCGAACTAACTCAATTCCATTTCCCATTTAAGTAACTTGCCTAAGCAGGGTAGTTGGTCAGAATATGGATTGTGTGGGCATGAAAATAGGGTTGTAGCTTCCTGGAGGCGATCAGTAGGCCATAAGCTAATCGCTCTATTTTTGGATACCATATCTCGGTGTCTAGTAGTCGCTTGCTCACGTAATACACTAGCCATTGAACTCTGCCCTCTTCCCGAATGAGAGCTATGCTAACCGCATGTTGAGAGACGGCCAGGTACAGGAGTAGAATTTCCTTGGGAAGAGGCTTGGATAGGAGAGGTGGCTTTCTAAGATGTTCTTTATACTTTAAAAAGTCTGCTCGCACTCTGGAGTCCACTTGAACTTTTTGTTGGCCTTGAGTATATTTAAAAATGGCAAGCAACAGTCTATTGCTCTCAATATGAAGCGACTGAAAGCCGCTATCCTCCCATTTAGGCTTTGAACCTATTTTCAATTGGTCGGGCTTTTCATATCAAGGAGAGTCTGGATCTTCTCGGGGTTGATTTTGATTCCCCTTTGGTTAACCATATGCCCCATAAACTTTCCTGAAGATACTCCGAATGAGCATTTAAGTGGATTGAGCTTCATCCTGTATCTTCGGAGTACATCGAACATCTTAGCGAGATGTGCTATGTGATCTGAAGCGACATGCGACTTAACCAGCATGTCATCAACATAAACTTCCATTGACTTTTTGATTTGCTCAGAAAACATACGGTTAACCAGCTACTGGTAAGTTGCCCTAGCATTTTTTAGGCCGAAGGTCATGACCTTATAACAATACAGTCCCTGATCTATAACGAATGAGGTATGCTCTTCGTCAGGTGCGTACACTAGGATCTGATTATATCCCGAATAGGAGTCCATAAAGCTCAGCAGCTCATGCCTGGAGGTGGCATCAACAAGCTGGTCGGTCCTTGGTAATGGAAAATTGTCATTCGGACAGGCTTTGTTAAGGTCAGTGAAGTCAACACAGGTTCGTCACTTGCCATTGGGCTTCTTTACTAAGACCAGATTGCAATCCAGCTTAGGTAAAGCGCCTCTCAAATGGACCCATTCAAAATGAGCTTATCTACCTCAGTTTTCAAGGCAGCATAGCACTTCGGGTCTATGGCTTTTCTTTTCTGGTGAATTGGCTTGACTGCACTGTCAATGTTGAGTGCATGATATATGACATTCGGGTTGATCCTAATCATATCAACATGAGTCCATGCAAAAACATTGACATTCTCTTTGAGGAAGCTTGTCAGGCTTTTGGCGAGCTGAGGGTTGAGATTACTCCCGATTCTCAACACTTAAGTCGGCTTATTTTGATTGATTGACACCTCATACAAGTCCTCAATTGGCCCACTATGAGGGCACTCCTGGATGCAAGGATCCATGTTGTCATCTACTGGGTCGGGCTGTGGCTCGATTCTGCTGATCGTCATAGCCTACTTTGGGATGCTTATTGGCCTTTCCTTTTCCTTGCATGTCATCTGCACTGCTCTTATGTAGCAGTTGCGAGATTCGCGTTGAGATCTTTTTACTTCCCCAATCCCCGTTAGAGTGGAGAACTTAATTTTTAGATGGTAGATGAAGGTGACTGGCTTGAAATTTCACAGCAGTCTACCACCAAAAATTCTGTCATTTTGGTCATTTCATTGGTCTCACCCAATGTGACCAGGAGTGAGATCGTTCCCCTAGGAATCAGATTATCCCTAGTAAAACCGTAGAGAGGGATGGAGGCGGGCTTCAGGTCTACCTCGTCTAATTGTATTTTTTTGAAAGCTCGCTGAAACAGGATATTTGCAATGTTTCCATTGTCCACCAACGTTCTGTGGACTTCGCACCGACCTATTTCAGGCATGACGATGAGTGCATCCTCATGGGGATGATGCAATCGCACTATGACTTTCTCAGAGAAGGTGATCTCCTTTTCCCTGCGAACCTTAGTGGATCACGGCGCCATGCTCATTACACTCACAGGGTCATGACGAGTTTCTCGAGCATACCTTTCCTGGCACCTCGAGAGTTTCCTGCGAGGTGTGGTCCTCCAAAGATAATACGCTTCTTTCCTTGTTCCTCTTGATCCCTTTCCCAAACGGGAGTCGGACCATCAACATACTCTTTAAAGTACCTTTGCTTGATGAGGTATTCAATTGCTTGTTTGAGAGCCCGACACTCATCGGTGTGATGCCTATTATCCCGATGATAGCAATAGTACTTTTTGCTATTCCTGGCTGAGGAAGGATTCTTCATGGGTTCTGGCTCTCCGAGCAAGCTGGCCTCCTCTGACTTATCCATAATAGCCGACACTGAGGCATTCAAAGGAGTGTATTGACTTTTGTCGCAATCGCGATCAGGAACTTAGGCATAAGATTTTTTGGGCTCAAATCGCTGCTTCTTTCTTTTCCGCTGATCATTATTAGCCCATCTGCGATAAGCCCTTCTACTATTCTCCCCTCGGTCGGGAGCATTGGTTAAGGGACTAGGGTTGTGGCAATTAAGAGCGAACACAAAATTTTGGATTCAGAAATATTTCTTAGTGAGGTTGTAGAAGCGAGTGAGGAAAACATTGATAAGAGCTTGAAAATACAAATTTAGTTAGTGGTTTTTGGGGATTAATTGTGGTAAATTAGGCTTAATTTGGTAAAGTTGCTTAATATTTTCATAATTGCCTTTTACGGGATCACAGGTGTTTTTGAGTGTTTTTCAGGCTACTAGTGCTTAAATGTTATGCTCAGATGAAGAATTAGGCAACGGAATGAATGACAAGTGGAAACAAACGGATCAAGAATCAGAGTTGAATTGAAGAAGTTTTGGAAGTTGAAGTAAAGAGAAGATTCTAGATTATGTTCCAACTTGAGCATGCCCTGGTATTTTGAGAATATCTTGAGCTGTAGAACTCAGATTAAGACGATTCTTGGACTGTTGGAAATTTGATTCAAAGCGCTACATTTCATATGTTTACTACCTTTCCAAATTTCATCGTTATCGAGTTCAAAAATCACTATCTTTGAAAAATAGTGGAATGATGTGGGAAGAAGGCCAGTAGCTACTGTGCCGCAGCATAGTGCCGCGGCACACTTTTTCCAGTAGCTACTATGATGTAGCACAGTATTGAGGCACAGTCACAGAAGTTAAAACTGGTTATCCGTTTTTAGGTAGGAGTATAAGGTTAAGAGTCCTAAACCAAATAGAATTAAGAAAAATAAAACCCTAACCCTTGTGGGATATAAATAGAAGTCTTTTAGCATTATTTGAGGGATTCTTTGGGGGAGAAGGAGGAAAAATCTGCAAAGAAGAGAAGTAACAGAAGTTCTGGAGCTTTGATTGACAATATAAAGAAGTTCTTCTTGTTTTCTTATAAACTCATGATGATTGTTTTAATAAAGATGATTGTTTCTTTCATGTTTATTATGAACTAAATTTATTCTCTAGGGCTAAGATGTAGCCCAATCTCTTGATTATGTATTGATATATGATTATTAATGTTTATTAAGAATTCTTCCTAAGTTTTACTATTATTCCTAATGCTTTTGATTCTTAAGGGCCCAAGAATTGAATGAACTAATGGACTAGGTTGAGATCAAGAGATGATACTTAGTTGGTCTACGGTAGTAAAACCATAGGTTGAGCGAACGCTAGAGATAGGTTACCGTGACTTGTGAGGTTTTGGTAAACTCCATAGAGCGTAATGATCTCCAATTGCTTAAATCCGATTATAGATAATTCGCGTTAGTAATTAGGGTTTAATTTGATAATTGTTCAAGAGAAAATTATTGAAAATTAAGGGAGTTTGACCTATAGGAAGAGCTTAATAAAATTAGCATAAGAGATCGATATATATAAATAAGAGTTGGTGTGAAGTCTATGCCCTAGGTCTAGTCATCTTGTTTTTACCCAAAGGTTTATTTTAATTGTTCTCTATTCAGTTTTCTTTTTAATTTCAATTGTTAATTTAGTTTAGATTTTCTTTGATACAATTTCGATTGATCAAATAGTGATAGGATAGTTTAATTGGTAATTGATAATAGTAATTCCCTTGGGTTCGATATCCGTAATTTTACACTTTATTACTTGCACGATTTCGTACACTTGCGAAAATCTACAACAAACATCGTCCTCGAATTGCAGTTCCTTCCACAAGTTAGTCTATGGGAGAAATAGCTCTGGTAGAGACTCTCTTTTTGGGGGTCTCATTCTTTCATTCTTTATACTATTTCCATTTACTAAAAAAAAAAAAAAGTTTGTTGCCCTATCAAATGCTAACTTAATTAATAGTAGACTAAAAAGTAAGTTGAATTGGCAAACTACCTTGAAAACACACAACTTATTCTCTCAAGTTATTTAGCAACATCAAGCATGATCAACAAGACACACACCATTAATAAATATTCAGTCGGAAATTAATAAATATACTAGCCTTTTATTAAATTCAAATAAAAGTCTCTTGCATTGGTGACACATTAGCCTCCTTTACCATTTCAAGCAACTTATATAAATTAAATCCGTCATACTAGATCATCATTCTTCTTGGACAACACATCATTCATCAGAAGCTTCTTCTTATAACATTGAAACTTGGTCGCCAGCCGCTTCTTAAACCATTTACTACGATGAACCTTCTTAATCCACTTGTAAAACTTGAGAAAAGTTGCCTTAAATGCAACATACATAGGGAATTGCGTGAGTGCAAATATACTGACCGTAAAAAATGCAGCTGTGTAAATGAGAGAGGAGGTCCAACGTGGCTTTTGTAAACGAACGATCAGCAATAATGTTGCCGCGAATGCAAGCATTGTTGTAGTCAATGCAAAGAAGAGTAAGGAGAAGCCTATCGTAAGTTTTCGAGGGAGCCTCTGACGGAATTCTTCATAACTAAAAGGTGAAGTGAGGACAGATAAGAACATTACCACCGAGGTCAAGGAGCAAGCTAAAGCAACAACGTCCATGACTGTGAAAACCCAGAAGAACTTGTTGTTGAGGAAAACTGGATAACCATTATCATTGGAACCTCCAGGTACAGTATAGGCAGCTGCAACCACCACGGTGGCGACGAGAACAACCACCGCATAGCATGATTGAGAAGTCTCTTTTACCCATTTATGTGCTTCTTTGAGTAGTTTATTGTGCTTCAGTTCGAACAGCTCTTTGCAATTGCAATTCTTGTCTTCTTTATTGTCATCATTTGCAGTTACAAGGAACACGGCAAAATGGGTGGGCGCTAGCTTCTCCACACGCTGCATATATGCACAAATATAAGAAAAGATAAGAGTACATTCCATGGAAGACTTAATTAATTAACTCATCATTAAATTTGTATGTATAGAAGACTACCAATCCTTATGTTGGTCTCCTAAACATCCAATAGACTTTCATCTTCATTGTCTCCAATTTTTGCAACACATGCACTTTATCTCTAAGTTTACTTTATTTAATTTTTGTTGTAAATAGTCATTTTTGTCCTTATGATACTTGTAAAAGAGACCGGAAAATACGATTCAATAAAAAGAAGGTATCATGTTTTTTTTCTAGATATAAATCAAAAAAATTACTAAACAAAGTGATATTGAAGAGGTGAATATTTTGTGATACCAATGCACTTTATTATTAACAAAATGAAATAAATAAATAAATAAGCCTTTTCATGCCTTAAATAATCAATTTTTTATCTTCTTCTAGTTTATCATATGCTCTTACAAAACACATTAACATTTCCGATAAAAATTATAAAGATCATTTAATAGATTATGTTAGAATCATAGATTCTGAATATAAACAATGAGTTTTCCTCAATCCTTGAGGTTTAATCAAATAACAAATGTTCTCTTGAGATTTCAGAAATAACCAAAATTTTCATGCCGTTAGTAAACCGTTAGAGTATTACTATAATTTTTAACATGATGAGTTAATAAATATTTACAAAATTACTTTTCTATCGTTTATTTTTATACCAATAACTTAATGGGAGAAGGGGGTTTTGTTATTATTTCAACCACAAGGGAATTTTAGTTATTTGATTATATCTGAGGGGTATTTTGTTATAAACCCTATAAACAATCACATTACTCTATTAAAAAAAAATGGTGGTAAAGATTTGTACGATGCTTACTTTGTGCCACTTTAACTCTTCTTGTAGATGGTATGCAGGACCACGGTGAATATCTGCATTATCATTGGTCATGTCTGCAGCATGGTGTAAAATGGTATAGTCACATACGTCGATCCCTCGGACTAACCTTTTCATTGGTATATTCATCTCTTTCACAATATCGAAGATTTCCATTTGACGGTGCATGATAGCGATATGTAATATACTCCGATTCTTATCATCGATATACTCGACCAACTGGGGCGTTTGTTTAAGTATCTCGTTGACAATCTCTACTATTCCTTTTTCAGTAGCCAGAAATAATGCGATTGGTTTTGAGCCTTCACCTACTCCTACCTGGTCAGCTTGAATATTTCCTTGTTTTGAACCTTCACCTTCTCCTACCTGGTCAGCTTGAATATTTCCTGGTTTTGAACCTTCACCTTCTCCTACCTGGTCAGCTTGAATATTTCCTGGTTTTGAACCTTCACCTTCACCTCCTTCGGACAATCTTGTATCAACAATCTGCAGCCACGTAGTATCTTGATCTATTAGCTTTTTGGTGAGTTCAAAAGCAAGTTTATGCTTTCTCTTATCTTTCAAGATTCTTCTCAGTATTGGCAACCCTATTCTTCGTTTTGCATCAATCAGAGGACCTGTGAATTTCAGAAAATAAAGTATACATAGCATTAGTCAACGAGATACCCTAGAGTTGGAACTATTGCTCTATTAATCACTCTATAAAAGTTCTGGATAGAATTCTATTCGCATATTTCTTTATTAACCAATTAGGATGAAAAATATAAAGAGGATATATTAAATTCAAACAGTTACTGTATATTTTAGTGTAAACGTGGAAATTGTGCAGTACGTACAAAAGTAGAGGAGTCTTTTCAATATGCTCATTCGGTATCCACTTCTGAAAACAGAGGGCATAGTAGTTGAAGACTGGTCATGCGATTTCCGTCCTCTAATGTTGCTAACGACTTATCCAGTTTCAGTAACTCAAAAGCCGTTTCTGTGCCGAAATTAGCACATCAGACACCAGTTGAATACTTCAATTTAAAGCAAAAATAAACTAGCTAAATGGCATGGGGAGAGATCAGAGAGAGACCAAAGTGCTCTCCTTGGATGGCAGCATGCAGAATGGAGGCCCCAGTCACTTCAATGGTTTCTCTTCGGTTAGCTACACGCGATACTCTGTGGCGGTGAATGTCTATCAGCTTTGCACAACTTTCTCCACTCTGATTCTGAAGCTAAATAACGGACCACCTCTGTTTGCCCATATGCAGCAGCTTTAAACAGCGGGGTTTCGCCTTCTATATTTCTATCCTCAAGGAGCTTCTTATCGTGTTTCACCAAGAGCTCTACCGCCTCAATGTTACCATCGGCGGCAGCCTCATGAAGAGCCGTGTTTCCGTAGATATTCTTTGCCGAATATGCATACTCTGCCATAGGATCCTCTTCAGCAATTTTAAGGAAACTTTCAAGCGGTTCTTTACTTTTGCTGAACGCTGCCAAGTGAAATACATTGTCCTCGGCGGCTGTTTGAAGAAATGTCACAGCAAAAACACGTTCTTTGTCGTAGAAATTCTTCAGTTCATCCCACTCCTCGTCCAGGGCCAACTGATAAGGCGTCGCCATCCCTGTCGTAGAAAAGAATTAATGAAGAATCATCCAACAAAAAATTTGCAAAATTGTTCTCTTATTAAGTTTACATATATAGGGTGCTATTATTTATTGGGTCCACCTACTGGAAAATCAATATAATTTTCTATTTTCATAGTTTATCGTTCAAAATATTATTAATTAAATATCTTTAATACAATAATACATATAAATATCAAGTAATGGTTGACCTAACAAAAAAATATTTGATTATATATATATATATTAACGTTTATTTGTAATTTTAAAGTTTTGGTTGCAGAATGAGAGCTAATGTAGTGTGTAGTTTATTAATAATTATTTATTATTGTAGGTTGTGTTCAGGACATGGGATTAAAGGTGAGATTTGGTAATTTTTTAAAAATTGTCATATCCCAATGTTTGGCTTTGTTTTAGGAAGAATGGAATAGGATTGTCCATAATCACATCCTCCTTCCTTAGTCCTAATCTATGGGGACAAAAGAATCCCATTGGGAGGCAGGGGGCTCCTTGTCCAAGTTACGATTTTTTTTATATTATATATAACGTATGAATTTTTTCCACCTACAGGGAAGATTAATGTTGTCCTCTAAGTTTATAGTTTATTGTTCAAAATTTAATTAATTACAAATATTTTGTCTCTAATAGACTAATACATATGTATATCAAAGAATGCTTAAATTAACATAACATAAAAGTAATTGATGATATATAGAAATTAACATTAATTTAATTTTAACGTACAATTGCGACCAATGGAGTGCATATTATACTATTACTTATTACTATAAGTATTAATAAGTTAAAAGAAAACATTAACAAAATTAAATAAAAACCAACAATGAGTTGGCCGAGTGTTAAAGGTTTGGGATCAAGGAGTTTGCTCCCCCTATAGTTCCAAGTTCAAATCATAAGAACGATTGTCAATATTATTGGTCACGGACCATAGGGTTTGCCCTGTTTCGAAAGCTTTTTCTAGGATTGAGGAATTAATCGAGGTGCACGTAAGATAGTCCAAACACCCCCAATAACAAAAAAAAAAAAAAAAAAAAANTATAAAATAATTATTTAAAATTTTAATTCATTAATTGAAATTAACGTGTTAATAATTAATATATTTCTCACTCAAGTTAATTATAATTAAGTAATTATATAGATAAAGTAATTATAAATAGAAATATTTTATGATAATTATTATTGAAATTAAGATAATATATATATATATATATATTCTAATCTCATACTATACCAAACACAAGACAGCAACACTATGTACAATCCAATCATATCTAAATCTAGTCTAAATATATTCCAAAGAGTTAATCTAATTTAATCCGACCTCCAAAATGCCACTTAAATGCTAATAATTTAGGAAAACTTTAACGAAATTATAAATATATAATAAGCTATATGAGATCAGTGGGGGCATCATCCATGTCTATAAAAATGGGGTCGGTGCCCCCACTCACCCATGTAGCTCCATTCTTGAGTGCTTTAACATTAAATAAATAAAAAAAAAAGAACACTGTAATTTCTTTAACATCATCCCATGACTTCCAACTAAAATTGGAAAAAGAGCAGAATACTTGTTAATCTAAACAGTAAAAAACTCTAGATATTTCTTTAACAATTCTATGTTGACTCAGAAATCTATAGTTTCGGAAACGCAAGAATGCCAATGTCCAACCTTTTTACTCCATCAGTTTGGGTTGGCTCAGCTAATCACTGCCAACAACCAATCAACTCTTTCGTTACAAAAACATTGAGACTAAGCTCGCCTGGATTATCAAACAAAATCTTGATAATTAAGGCAATATATGTGAAACTCTTCCAAATTCAGAGTTTATAAAACCACTAAAAATCCTGTATATATCATAAAGGATTAGTAATCTATAAACAATTTGTAAATATAAATACCTGGAAATGTGAAAGCTTTTTTATCTTCCTTGAATAGAGAGTGAGGAGAAAGGAGACAAACTATTGAAATGGTTTTTCTATACTATTTTAATCAAAAGCTTGATGAGATCTTTTTTATCCCACCATGGGAAATAATATCAATCCAACGGATACAGACAAATCTCAACAATCGAGGCGCCATTATTTATGATCTGAAGAGACTGAAATCAGTGTACAGGTGTTCACTGTCAAGTAATTGTCCAGCTTGGTCTCGTGGACCCAATTTCTTGTCCTTACATCTATGGTAAATAAGATCATAATCAAATTTTTGATTACAAATAGTTAAAAGAAATAAAATTACATTTGTGACAGAGATTAGTGGATCGAGTCATCTCAAACTATGAGGTTGCATCTTTATTAATAGTTATAATAGTTATAGTTTTTGCTCTGATAATAAGCGTTTGATCTTAACAGTATCATCAGACAATACACGTTGCATATACTAGAGTACATACAATGGGTATTGTCAATTATAAACATATAGCAACATGTATTGGTTCTTAAATCTGCCACTGCCACCGTAATTAATGCATAAACTAGAGTACATACAATGGGTATTGTCAATTATATTCTCTAAAATTTTATATTTTTACTGTTTTAAAATTTCATTGTTAATTATCGGATTCGAATAATGAAATAAAATTTAAAATAGAATAGATATTTATGTATACCCTAAGACACAGTTTAGCCGTACATGATTAAAATTCTTGAAGTAGGAGAAAGATGGGCTTACTTTGTACCACTTTAGCTCATCCTGCAGTTCGTATACAGGTCCTGTAGGTTGAATTTCTCTAGTGTCATCCCTCGTGTTTGCAGCATGGTGCAAAATGGTTTAGAAATTTTTGTCAATCCCTCGGACTAACCTTGTCATTGGTATCTTCATCATTTTCACCTGATCGAATATCTTCTTTTGACGGTGTTTAATGGCCACATGCAATATGTTCTGCTTTAGATGATTCTTATACTCAACTAATTGGGGACGGAATTTAAGTATCTCTTTGACAATCTTTACTATTCCTTTTTCAGTTGCCATAAATAAAGGGTTTGGCTTAGAATCTTCTTCAATCGGTGCTCTAGCTCGAATATTTCCTTGTTCATCATCATCAGGTGATGACATTGGTGGCATGAGTTCTGCAATCAACGCATCATCTACTGCTATTAGGTTCTTGGCAAGTCTAAAAGCAAGTTTATGCTTTCTCTTTGTTTCGCAGATTTTTCTCGTTGGTGAACAGATTTTTCCCGGTATCCCCCACCTTGTTCATGTTTACGCATTTGTTAGTGATTCTTGGTGAAAAGAGTTGAGGGTCTTCTTGTAATTTGTCTTTTGCTTTGCTTGTAATGGTGTCGTTTTGCTCTTGATGGTTTTTACATTGTTTGTAACGACACTTCAGCAACTTTACTTTTAGCTTATCTTCTTCAGCTTATTTTTGCTTAAGCTCGTTTTGGAGTATAAAGCATGAGTTGATTGTAACTGATTTTAGTTAATGAAAAACCAATTGAGATTCTTCTCTCTTTCATCATCTATTCTTCTTTGAGATTTACATGGTATCAGAGCCAAAGGACTAACATCAATGGCTAGAGTTCCTGGTAACAATCTGTCAAATAAGAGTATAGAGAAGATGCTTAACGGCTCAACCAGTGCTCACTCTTCAATTTTCAGTTCCAGTCTTCAAGTCATCACTCCAAAATTGACTATAGATAATTACCGAGACAATTATCGTTTTTGGAGGTCTCAAGTTCTCTCTACAGTAGGAGCTCACGATCTTGAAGAACACCTAACAGGTTTGATTCCATGTCCAGAACCTCTTATTGCTTGTGATGATGATTTGAAAGAGCTAAGCTCAAGTGAAATTAAGGAAACCCTAGGAAAAGAGAAGATTAATCTGGAGTATATAATCTGGAAAAAGACTGATAAGTTTCTTGTAACCTGGCTCCTAGCATCAATTTCTAAATGCATGTTTAGTCAAGTGTCGAAATGCAAGTTTTCTACTGATATCTGGTTCACACTTGAAAACGAGTTCTTGGCTGATTCTAAAGCCAAAGCTTTGAATTTGAAAAACTCGCTTCAAACCACACAAAAAGGCAATCTGAGTGTGAGTGAATATGTGAAGAAAATGAAAGGAATTGCTGGGAGTTTATCGTCCAGTGGTCAGATTGTTTCAGATGAAGAAGTGTTACAATATGTCTTAGATGGATTAGGTCCAGAGTTTGATGCGATTGTCGTCAATCTGACTTCTAGGATTGAATCCAAGTTTGATTCAATTACTTTACAAGAGGCTCAATTCCTGCTACAGAAATATGAATTGAGACTTGAGAAATTTAATTCTCCTGACTTTCCAAATTGCTCAACAATGTGGCATCACTTAATCCAAACTTAACTAAGTCTCAGCTTCCTTGTCACAACTCAGCGTTAGGACATTTAAATTCTGTTGAAGGTTCTTCTAGAAGTACTGGATCTGGACTTTTTGGATCAGTCAACCATAATGTTCCGCTACAGAATGCTTTGTCTGTACCATCACAGAGCTATCCATTGATTGTTAGAGGTCTGCCAATAAATCAGAATTCTCCTCATTTCTTATCTGAGGTTATAAGTCAGCTTTCAAATTTACCTGCCTATAGACCCTTTGGATATGTTGGAAATGGCAGAGGCAGGGGCAGAAACAATGGGAGAGGCAAACAAATTTGCCAAGTTTGTGGTAAAATGGGACACACAGCCATTCAGTGCTATCATCGTTATAACACCAGCTACAATGGCTCTTCATTCAACTATAATGGTTCTTCTCCACAGTTTAATACCAGTTATACAGGTGGTACCTCAGCTCACTTCAATTCACCACAGCAGTTTAATGGTTTTTCTCAAGATCTTGGTGCTAATCTTGGCAGTGTTAACACTAATTCATTTGGTCAGATGTTTGGTCCTAGAAATAGTTCTTATGACCATCATACATAGCAACATGGAAGCCACAATCACCAGTCTCAACAGTATCAGTCTGATCAGCAAAAGCAATTCTCTTACTCAACGCAACAGCCAGGCTTCAGGG